GACATGGATGTTAACTGGAGCAGCCAACTATGGACATGTGGCACCTTTGCTGAAACAGCAGCACTGTCTGTTCACTACTGCACCAAGATTAAGGTTCTGTTGCTCATCTATGAAGCACATAGAAATTAAATGGATAAAGCTTTTGCTGCACTGCATGCCTGGAAAAACTTCACAGGCTAAAGTCCAGTGTTCCTTCCTGCCAACTCTCACCCTAGGCCATACCACTTTCCCCCGGACTACATCACAACAAGTCCTGCTTTATTGAGAGTTAGCCTGTCTAGATTGTGCCCTTGAACTCTGATAATGGTTCATGCCCCATCTGTACCATGCATTTAAAGCAGTATTATACCTCTTTAAACAGACTCAAGGGAAATGCACTTTCAATAAGGGTGCTCAGAATTATTAGAACTAGTGGTGGACACTGGGGTCTCAAATTTCAGAGGCGCCCTATGCAACATCAAAATTTGGTACCTCCTGCCTCTCGCCTTCTATTCTACATCATAGTTGTGGCACCCCCTGTGTTGCCCCCGAGACTCCACACCCAATGTGACCAAACCGCTTGTGCTCCTCTAAATCCTCCTCTGGGAGAACCCTATTTCACCCAGAGAGCTCCAAGACAGATGTTAAAATACCTGACCTGTAATTTCCAATTTCTCCCCTTGATTCCTTTATCAAGATGGTTGTTACATTGGCTACTTTCCAGTCCTCTGGTATGGGGGCTGATCTGAGGGAGAAGTTACAAATTTTTGTTAGAAGCTCAGCAGTTTCATTTCTGAGTTCTCTGAGAACTCTCAGGTGGATTCCATCAGGACCAAGCAATTTCTTGGGTTTTGTTTTGTCTGACAGGCCTAGAACTTCATCTCTAGTTGCTTAGACTTGCTTCTTGCAAAGGATAATTAAGGCACTGGGATCTGCCATATATCTTCCAATGTGAAGGCAGATGCAAAGAATTCATTCAGCTTCTCTGTAATCTCCTTATCATCCTTTAGCATAACTTTGCCACCCTTGTCATCTAAGGGTCCAACCACCTCCCTAGACAACCTCTTGCTGCTAATATATTTAAGGAATTTCTTATTGTTGGTACTAATGTTTTTGGTAATATGCTTCTCGAATTCTTGTTTGCTATGAGTGTCTATGGCTTTTTCCGACAGAGGATTATTTTTTTTTAAAAAAAAGAAGAAGAAAGCTAACATAATGACATTATTCTTGATACATGGTCAAAGTTAATGATGATTTGTTCAACTATTGTTAACATCTTCATTGTTATTTTAATTACTTTGCCTCTCTGTCCAACCTGAATTACTGAAATGTGTGTTTCTTTTAACTTTTCTGATGTTGAGGCGATGATGGTAGCCATTAACATTCATTGTTTGACACTTAACCTGTCTACCCCTTTTTATCTTATTCGTTAAAAAAATATCCAGCAGTCCTTCATACAGCATTCATACAGCACGTCTGCCAGTGTGACACAGATATATGGCTCACTCATTTGCTTCACTATAAATGTTGTTCTTTACTAGTCTGTTGCCTCAGGCAAAAAGGATCTCACCAGGACACTGAAAAACTGGCTGAGATATGGGGTAGGGGGAAGGAAGCAAAATAATCAATAAAAAGTTCGTTGCTGTGGTGGTGGATCCAACATTATCAAGTTTTGGTTGGTCTACTTCAAGCAGTTTACCTGTTCAGTCACGTACACAGAACTGAAGACCTGAAGTTAAATTGTGCTCAGTTTCCAATTTCAACACAACATAGTGGAGAGAGAGAAAAATCAACTTCCAAAGCCTCATTTAATTGTGGAGTAGAGTGGGGAAACCATCTCCTTGGACAGACAGTAACCCTAAGGCACGATGCCCCCTTGATAGGCAACTGAGATAGAATCAGACAATAGTTAGAAAAAAATGAAAACAATAATGTAATTTTTGACAATGGACAAGACCGAAATAGCAGTAGCAGAAGATAATGATATTTGAACTGCAAGGGGCCTTAATTAGTTGCCTCTTCAGCAAACTGGACAACTGAACTGATACACAACTGCAAACTACATCCCCAGCCCTAGCCGGCATGACAATGTTGCCTAGGGCTGATAGGAATTGTGCAGGCACACACAATCCCCATTTACACGGGGCTTACATTCTGAGGCACTGTGTGCATCAGTGAAATCACATGTATTTGAAACACCATTGAAAAAGCCTGCAAACACCCCGATCTGCCCCATCCCCTTCTGCTCTTTTTTGTGACATTTTGGGGTCACTTCTGGGTTCAGCACGGTCATACACATATTTAATGCACATATGTAAATGTGTGTGCGTGCGTGCCTGTAATCCAAAACATTTGGAGGGCACCAGGTTGGGCAAGGCTGCAGTAACACAGGAAGCTGCCTTATATAAAGTCATACCATTGATCCATCAGGCTCAATACTGTCATTATAGTGGTGATCCTCCAGTGTTTCAGACAAGGTAAAGGTAAAGGTACCCCTGACCGTTAGGTCCAGTCGCGGATGACTCTGGGGTTGCGGCGCTCATCTCGCTTTACTGGCTGAGGGAGCCGGCATTTGTCCGCAAACAGCTTCCGGGTCATGTGGCCAGCATGACTAAGCCGCTTCTGGCGAACCAGAGCAGCGCACAGTACTCAGCCCTAACTGGAGATGTTGGGGATTGAACCTGGAGTGCTCTACTGCCCAGCAATGGCCCTTCCCCAAAACTGGATTTAGATTTCCATTTTGCAAGGCAAAGCGATGGTGGGTCAGAATATTGGGGGAGAGAAAACAGGAGGTAGATATAAGTCAATGAATTTCCACACACAGCTCTATTACACAGAAATTTACAATCTCTGTTACTACGAAGTCCGCCAAGTTCCCCTAAGCACCTGTGTTAAGGGCACATTTCTTTGCTGATGAATGACCCACATTTCACATAGTGATTTGCCATTAATCATGATAAGGAATAACCCTAACGAGTCATACATTCAACGTACAACTGTTTTACCAGCTTAAGCCTGAAAGAGTCTATTAATTTCACTATATTTCAGGCAAAGTAAGGTTGGAGAAAAGTTGCTCTTCTGATGGGCACTTTTATTGAGGGCTCTTTTGAAAATTAAGTCAGCTAAGAACACTAAAGGGGGAGGGATGCCCAAAGCAGCCTAATGCCAGGCTGAGCATGCTCAGTGGCTACAGAATGCTGGGAAAGAGGGGAAATGGAAAACCAGAAGTGGATAGGGTGGTGGAGGAGGGGGAATATAGTGGAACAACTGTTACCCTGAGCAGTAACATTCCACTATTTTGTTGCAGGCCCCCTTTTTTTTACTTTGCCCTTTTGATTTCATGAAGATTTGAAGTTAATCCTTTCTTTCTTTTTAAATCCTGGTCCTTTACTTTGAGCCCATCTTTCTCAGTCATATGAAATGCTACCTGTCAAGATAGCACTTAATAGTCACTGTATTAAGGATGTTCCTCTTTAGTTCCTGTTCCATGAATAGCTGAAAAACTGAGACCAGAGATTAAGTTGGCACTTTGAGCTAAGAGTCCCTGAGAATGGGAATTCTCTGCACAATGTAACCCTTCAATTAGACCAAGAAACCTGGCCAAGGCGCATCAGTTCACAGAAGAGCCTGCAAACAAGCTCCCAATAGTCAGAAGCCACCGGATGATTGTAGCAGCTATTGGTTATGAACAAAATTGGTTCTCAAATCCATCATTTGAGACGGCCTTTCAGCCGACTGTCCATTAGAACCTGGCTTCTTCCCAAATGCTGAACTCCAGAAGAGTATAAGGAAGTGATTGGGCAGTTCTGCTGATGCTACTGTGAGGGCTGGAAAGAGGATCTCAGTGCCTGTAGCAGCTTAGAAGATTCTGACAATGTGTAGCCTAGTTCACAGGCTTCAGTTTGATGCAACCCTCAATTTATCTTTCTTTTGTTTAGGCAAGCAATAAGTATTATCAAAGTTCCAGAACATATCCCAGCTAGGCAACAACACTTGAGGAAGGTGTGAAGCAGGGTTGGTGAGGGGTATGGCTTGGGGGGCTGTGTGGCCCACAGTGACTCCTGAGGGCTAAACAGAGCAGCATGGTGTGCCTTATGTGCCCCCATGCCTGAGATGGCTCACCCCTGCATTTTTTCAACAGATTAGCATACCAGACCAAAATTTGTCAAGGGATGTTTTTCCTGACATGTTGATGCAATGAGGGCAAAAGCTCAACTGTTGTTTTTTTTGGGGGGGGGGATTTTTAAAAGCACAGGAGCCCTTGCCAGATAAAAAGTTGGCAAGTCTTCACTTGGCAATGTTCCAGTTTCCAGAAGATTTGATGATGCCCTCCAAACCTCCATTCTGTGTACCCTTCCATAGGAACAGAACATGAAATGCCCTTGGCAGGAATTGTTCCCCCTCCCTCTCCCTCCCTTTAAAATGTCTGTTTTACAGCCCAAAGTGCTGTGGGAACCAAATCACTTTCAAGAGTTATTTTCCAAAGTGCCAACCAAGATGAAATTCGCAGCGATTGAGAAGAAATACTTTTGGAGTTGAATTATAGCAAACAAGAAAATAATTGCAGTGGCCATTTCTCTAAATATTCTGATCTGGGAGAAGTGTGTCATCATAGATTTTAAAAAGGGAGAGGCCTACAGGCTGAATTTCCTGTGCCTGTAACTAAAATTCATTTCCTTTCTAAAACCATTTTGTCAGGAGAGCATGTAATAGCTTTATAAGTAGTGCCTGTCCTCAACTGTTGTATTACATTTCTGTCCTTTGTAGGTTTGGGAAAGTGATCACAGCTTTATCAAAATCTTATGGCAGTCTTATGTACAAATTTTAAGTTTCAGCATTGGATCCAGTGAAGCCTGGTGCCCATTGGCACCAGGGAAGGCAGAAGCCAGGGAGCTGGGCAGTATTTGGAGTCAGCGCCAATGATAGGCAGGATCATAGAATCACAGAAAGAATCACAGAATTTTAGATTTGGAAGGGACCACGAGGGTCATCTAGTCCAACCACCTGCAATGCAGGAATCTTGCCCAATGTGGGGCTTGAACCAACGACCCTGAGATTAAAGGTCTCACGCTCTAAAGATTGAGCTCTCCTGCTCTCCAGTCAATCAGTTCTACTTATGTCCCATCCTCTCTCCTGCTGAGTTCTAGAAGGGCACATCAGTATGAAGGAGGAGGAAGCTCACAGGCAGTTTTTATCCATTTCTCATTTGTCCAAACTTACATTCACCCTGTTTTCACACGTTTGCCTTTTTTAAATGTTTGCATGAAAATTCACATTCCTTTTTTGTGTTTCAGCGTGTGGAATTTTGCCAAATGTATGCATTTTGCCAGCAGTTCCACCCAGTGCAATGCATTTGGTATGTTATTTTCCACAAACATGCTTTGTTGTGCACACCTCCCCTAATATATATATATCTATTGGGGGTGGGTGGGGCGTGTATTATAGAACTGCATTGCGAAACCTAGAGAACTACAAATTTTGAAGAACAGCTATCTTTTGTTTTGTGTATTGCTGACTGGGGCTGATGGGGGTTGTGGCCCAAAACATATCTGGAGGGCATCAGATTGGTGAGAAATGATGTAAAAGTTTTACCCATCAAAACCAGATGCGACACAGCAATCAATGCTTTTCAGTTTTGTGCTGTTGGTGGTTTTTTTTTTTAGAATTTCTATTGCACTCACTATTTTCTTTTAAAAATAGTTTTGTATTATGAATTTTGAGTACCAGTCACCTTGAAGACATCTGTTTCACAGGTTTTATATACTGCTTAATCATAAAAGCTTATAAGCAGTTTATTTATTTATTTTATTTAAAAAAACAAATTAAAATTATCACCCAAATTGGTTGCAAAACAAGGTTATATGTTTTTCTCAATATATACATAAAATCAGCAGTAAAAAAAAAAAGGTAAATTACAATTGCATATTAAACGTCATGCTAAATTTACATGGTAGCACTACTTAAACAGAAATATATTTAGCAGGCCCCCAAACTGTATTGCGAAGGCACCTGCTTAGTATCAGTGGGCGGTCGTGCCACCCTGAAGGTCTGATTTATTCCATGTGTGGAATGAAAGGCATGTGAAAAATGAAGCAAAATAAACACTTATATAGAATGATCTTTTAAAAAATCAAGTTAATGTGCCACACTTCCAACAAAGTGCGAAAGCTGGCATATGAACGAAAAGTAAAGTTTACAACCAACTGGTTTAGCCCACAGTTACATACCCACTTTGGGAGGTTACACCTTGGTGGATAGCCTTCTTTATTCATTGTTAGTTTTGTGGACAGCCCACTTGTACAACAGTGGTGAGAACTGTCATGTTCAGGTTGTGCTTGCAGGCCTCCTATAGGCATCAAGTTGGCTGCTGAAGGAAGAGAGTGCTAGAGTAGATGAGCCTTGGCCTGATCCAACAGACAGGTTCTTCTTATGTTTTTAAGGCATCAAATGTTTTCCATATCTTGTTGTGATCCAAAGGTGGTGCAATTCATTCTACTTTCAGGCTATGTGTATATGGGTTCTATGCACACCCAAGGAGCTCTCCAATGCACATGGGCCAGGACAGCCTACAATTTGCCATGCAACTGTCCCAAAGCCGATTGAACTGCTAGTTAGTGTATGTGTTATATGGCTAAATTTTGTTCAGATATTATTATTATTATTATTATTATTATTAATAACAACAACAACAACAACAACAATAATTTATACCCTTCCCATCTGGCTGGGCTTCCCCAGCCACTCTGGGCGGCTTTCAACAAAATATTAAAATACAGTAATGCATCAAACATTAAAAACTTCCCTAAACAGGGCTGCCTTCAGATGTCTTCTAAAAGTCTGGTAGTTGTTCTCTTTGACATCTTTTTTTAAGGTAAGCTTTCTTTTATAAAATAATATTTGGTGCAATGATAGCTTGAATTCAAAGGGGTATTGTGGAGTAGGAATTACTATTATTATTACATACAAACTGAAGCTCAATCCAGATAAGACTGAGGCACTGTTATTGGGTGGGTTCCCTAGACCAGATGGGTGGGAGGTCGCCTGCTCTTGATGGGGTTACACTTCCTCTGAAGGAGCAGGTTCATAGCTTGGGTGTACTCCTGGATCCTTTGCTGTTACTCGAGACTCAGGTGGCCTCAATGGCCCAGAGTGCCTTCCATCAGCTTTGGTTGGTGGCCCAGCTACACCACTATCTGGACAGCGATAGCTTAACTATTGTTGTCTATGCTCTGGTAACCTCAAGGTTAGATTACTGCAATGTGTTATACATAGGGCTGACTCTGAAGACGGTTCGGAAACTTCAGCCATTGCTGGATTTAGTGGCCAGGCTGCTCACTTGTGCAAGACTGTTTGAACATATTATGCTGATCCTGGTCCGACTGCACTGGCTACCAATTAGTTTCCGGGCCCAATTCAAAGTGCTGGCTTTGACCTACAAATCCTTAAACGGCTCAGGACTGCAATACCTCAAGGACCGCCTCTTTCCATATGAACCTGCCTGGACCCTGAGATCATCTTCTGAGGTCCTGCTTCATATGCCTCCTCCTCGAAAGGTCGGGAGGGTGGCAACACTGTGGAAAGCTCTCTCCAGGGAAGTTCACCTGGCGCCTTCATTATGCAATTTTGGCACCAGGCAAAAACGTTCCTTTTTAACCAGGCCTTTGGTTGATTTGATTGACATCCTATGCCCTTTTAAAATGTAGGGTTTTTTGGGGGGGGTGTTATTGGGTTGTTGTTTTTTATTTTGATTATATATTTTGTGGTTTTATATTTTGATTTTGTTCTGTGAGCTGCCCTGAGACCTCTGGATATAGGGCAGTATATAAATAATAATAATAATAATAATAATAATAATGTTCTAAATAATAATGTTTTATCATTATGCCCCAGAGTGGCTGGAGCAACCCAGCCAGATATGCAAGGTATAACTTCAATATACACACCACAGGAAGCTGCCTTATACTCATACAATCATAGAATTGTAGAGTTGGAAGGGACCCTGAGGGTCATCTAGTCCAACCTCCTGCAATGCAGGGACCTTAACTAAAGCACCCATGACAGATGGCTATTCCACCTCTGCTTAAAAACCTTCAAGGAGGGAGTCTGCCACTTCTTGTGGGAGTCTGTTCTACTGTCAAACAGCTCTTCCTGCCATAAAGTTCCTCCTGATGTGTAGTCGGAAACTCCTTTTTCTTTTTATTCCGAATCTGCTTTCTTATAACTTGAATCTAAGAAAGGAGATTCCGACTGAATCTGAGTCAGACCATTTAGCTCAGTATGTTCTATACTGGCTGGCAGTGACTCTCCAGGGGTTTGGATCAGAAGTACTTCCTAGCACTAGCTGGACATGCTGGGGTTTGTTATCTGGGACCTTCTGCATGCAAAGCACATGCTCTATGATTGAGCTATGGTCCAGTGGTGGACCTTGGCACCTCAGATTTCACCTTCCATTGGGTGCCATAGCTGTGATGCCTGCTGCAGCGCCCCTGAAGCTTCATCACCAAAGTAATCAGACCAGTTGCACACCCCTAGATCCACCTTAACATGGCCCTTTCCTAAGTCTTTGGGAAATCTTTGGGGCTTTTAAAGTTTAGAAAATAAGGAGGGAGTTGGTGAGGGTTTACAATAAATTATCTGTGGTAGAACATTTTTGAGGGGTTCCTCTCTCATAATAATTGCAGTTGGGGTCAGCCAGTGAAACTGATTACTAGGATGCTCAACAGACAAAATGCAATACTATGTCACACCAAACAATAATTAATTGATGTGATTTGTTTCAAGAAAATGTGACAGTGACCATTAGCTTCAATGACTTTAACAGAGGAAGAGATATACCGGTAGCTATCAAAGGCTGCATCAGCCATGATGATGCCCAGGTTCAGAAACAACATTTCTCTAAATACTAGCTTCTAGGATTTAGTGTGAGAGGGCTAGTGCCTCCATGGACTGCTGTGGGCTTCCCAGAGGTTGGCCACTGCAGAAAATACAATGCTGGACTAGATTAAACTTTGTTCTGACCCAACAAGGCTCTTCCTATATTCCTAAGGACCACTGGCAGCCTTCCTCATACGCACCAAAGCTTGCTATGCCCCCATCTTATGACAACCTCTTGCAGTCCCCCTCCTGCTCCTGAGCATTGGGGAACTTTCTGGAGGGGCAGCTGATATAGACCTAGAGGCTGCAGAGGGAAGAGAAAATAGAGAGGTTCCCTTGAGCATTCTAAGTGCCTCAGGCATGCACCTGGTACTCTTTAGTTCCCCACCTGGGTTTTAAATTCCTTGCAAATTTCAGCACTGCTCTTTGAAATGGAGAGCCGCGAAATATATCCCATGGTTCCAACTTTCAACACTTGTTTCAGAAATGGCTGTCGTCCCTCCCTATCTATTTGTTAGGTGCTCTATAAAAAGCAATCACCATGGCACCTAAGCCTTTTCTCATTAAAGAAACACTGTTTTCACTGCTTACTTAGCAACACTGACAATAGCCTCCAGCAGCGGTGAAGCAAGCTGACTTCATGGCATTTTGCAAGATGAATTCTTCACCAACACAGTCTGTTTGCTCCTTGCGCTCTTCCTTTTGCAAAAGGTGCAGCTTTCCCTCCCCTTTTTTTGGGGGGGGGAGAGGGGGGGGAGTAAGATGTTCCCTCATCAGCAACTGCTGATTGTGTCATAGTGCACATGCCACAGCTATGGATCAGTGGCTGCACTATGCACCTTTGCATGCCTAGAAGAGGGAAATCAATTTCCCACCTTGAAAAGGTGAAACTTGGGTTGCAGAAGATCTGCACAGGGTTCCCAGGTGCTCAAGGGTAATGGCAACTTGATGAGAGGGTTGAGCAAAGCTTGACATAGGAATGAGTCTCTGCTTGAGTGGTAAGTGATGCAAAGCAAAGGAGGCACTCCTATGGGGATGAAAGAAAGGCAGGAACCACATTCATTTGTTGATTAATCTAGATTTGTATCATGATCAGCTTTATAACCCCTCCCCCAAAAAAACCTGAACCGGGACTCACACACACCTTGTGTATAAATTGACTTAGTTATTTGGTACTCACATATAGTTTTAATTGTCATATTTTAACTGGGGT